GATTGCTGAACATCGGTTTCAATTGTCAAAGTTTTCGAGTTTTATAAATCTGGAAGAAATCATCCTAGAAAGCCTAGCAGGGTCCAGAGATAATATTTCAAAAAGCCTGCACTCTGTGTTTCGAGAACAGAAGCTCCGACTCGATAATTCATATTTCGAGACGCACTATATAGGTATGAAAAAACTAGTTTGGGAAATTTATGCAAATTAGGAGTAGCCGGTTTTGAAATCCAAGTGGCATTTTTTCGATTTTATGAAGATTACGTGGACCCTAAAAAGGTATACGATTTTTCATAGTATACTGCTGCTCATCAAACAGGAACTGAAGCTTATACAAGAGGAACAGCTCGAACTCAGGTTAATGTGGGTACCCTCCCATATTGGCATAATAGGGAACGAGAGAGCTGACAGTCTAGCACGCGATGCATCAAACCAAGCAACAATATCATCCGAGAAAAGAGTTCACACAGATCTGAAACGAACTATCAAACATGCCATCATCACAGCATGGCAATCTCAATGGCACCTTCCGTTGTCAAAACTTGCAGAAGTTAAACCATCCGTACATCCTAGGAACATGTTCCGAAGAAAAGAAATCACCAAGTTATAGTGACCAGACTCAGGCTAGGTCATACCAGACTGACACACGAGCACATCATCGCTCGTACTCCCGAACCAATTTGTGAAGAAATATCTTGTTGTAATTTTTATCGCTAATAAGCTTAATGGTTGGTGCGATTTCTTTCTTCAAATAATGAAAAAAATTAGTGTTTGGAATTGAATAGATTTGTTCTAGTGGTCCCATAAGATATTTGTGACTAATATCTTTAGGTTGATCGAGTATAGGTGGAATTAACCAAACATTTTGGGATTTTCTCTCCTCATTTCTTTGAATGAGAATATTAGTAGTATTTCTATATAATCATTGTAGTGGGGATGAATCAGATTATTGCTTCTCAATGCCACTACGTTCAAAAGTTCACTATCAGCGACCTGCGAGAGAAAATCAAACGATAGCTGTTGAGAATGGTAGCAGATTCGTTCCAGGAATGTCCAAATAAGATTCTGACATATAATTCATCCAAACTCATTTGTCTATAGATCGCAAAGTTTCGAAATTCTTCGCCAAAGGAAGTATTCCCAAGAACTTATAACCTCCAAAATTCGAAAACAAAATTAAATCCTATAAGTACCTCCATTCCATATCCTCCCTGGGTACGTACGGAGTTCCTTGAACATAATAGAGATTTCTTTCCGTGCGCTCCTGAAGATGATGAAGTGAGAATTTTCCAATAACACCTATATACTCCTTTGTTGAAGAATGCGAACCATGGGAGCAAATAATCGAAAATAGCGAAGTTATTGAGCCGAATGCAGAATGCAAATGCGCAGATGCGAACAGTGTTGACAAAGAATTGTTATTTCACTGAAATGACGAAAAAATTGAAAGACATCATTCAATAATTTCATCCATCAAGGATTTCGATAAGTGGACCACAAATCAACAGGTGAAAATCTATTGATAATTAAAAAAAAAGTAGAATTCCATTTTAATTTCACGATATTTATGAGGTTATTTATAAAAATCATCAATATCTACCAATGAACTGTGATCTTTTTTTTCTTCTTCCTATTGAATCAACAACATCACGTGATGCTGATTGCTGAACAATTTGGTCTCACACATTCCCTGTGTTTTTTCATAAATTCGTGTAGATAGCCATTGCTGTTCCGAAAAAATAGGTCGATCAAGGTCAAGTCGAAAAATGAATAAACAATCACTAGGTACACCTTGAATGCTTATCTCAAAGAATGTAAATTTGAAATTGCGAATGTTTTCAATTTTATATGTCGTTAAATAGGAATAGAATGTTGTTGGGGCAATGCAAAGTTTTTATGACATGCATCGTTTCTTAATTACTCATTATTCTAGGAAATATTCAAGACTTGATAACAACGAATATACTGATGAATAAGCAATAACAATAATGCAAACTTGAACGATGCATTGTCTAATACTTCGCTTTCCGAATTCCATTAGATGATCTATCATTGCCTTTCCATATAAGTGATACAAAATGTAATTTTGGAATAAAACCAATGAAGAGAGACAGGTAAATTACCATCGATTCCAGTTGATCCTGGTCTGTATTAGTTATCACATGTGTTGTGAATTGGTTTATTTACCAGTTATCAACTGAATAGTTATCCAGTTGACAGCACTTGGTATGGAAATCAATTTATCTACCGTCTTGAATAATCATCACTAACTCTTCACCAGAACTCTGATTTATCGGAGGTTTCATTCAGCTACATTTTTTGTAGGTGACTTGTTTAGATCAGATATGTATTGTTATATGAATCCGTATTTGAAATTAATTGTGCTATCTCCATCTATGAGCTAAAATTATCTTAACCGTAATGTATGAAATCATCTCTCACTATGAGTTTTCTGCAGAATGTATGTAATATAATCAAGGGTAGTACCGGGGCCAGGTAGCCGTGCGGACAGAGTGTCTATATTCTAATCCGCATTCGCTCGCCGGTCGTGGGTTCGATTCCCGTCGACTGCAGAAATTTTTCTCATGGCCCAAGAAAGTGTTTGGGATCACACGTTAAAAGGTAAGGCCCCCGTCATTCCTTGCTCGCACAAGACTCTCGAAGACTTCTGAGGGTTGCTCGTAAGGGGGCAACCGAATGACAGATAGAACAATTTTAGAATTTTAGAACCTATCTACCTGTACACGTTTTTATGATTTGTATTTGAAGGGTACAGAATCCAACAGTTTCAGGGTATGTTAGGGTGCCGCACTCCAAATATGGGAACAGTATTACAGGACAGGTCGGATCTGCGCCTTATAAATCATAAGCAGCTGACTGAAAGTGAAATAGCTCCTGGCCCGAAACAGAAAACAAAAAAAGTTTTTGGGATGCACTTTTAGCAATTGATCTCATGTGATTTTCCCAAGTAAGGTTATTGCTGATAGTACTATCAAGCATCGAAATGGATGTCTTCAAAGGTATGGTTACTCCTGACATGCTTATGTTTGGCACAGTGAGATCGGCTTTTCTAGAGAAAACGCATGCTTGTGTTTTGTTTGCATTGAAATCTACCAAGTTATTGGATCCCCATTCAAGAATTGTTGCCAAGTCCATATTTATGTTGTTAACATTTCTTCCTCGTTCGTTTCTGATTTGCCTGGCTGGTATTGGAGGTCTGGAAGAGAAGGCGGTATGGAGGATACTATCATACGCGAAGCTGTGTACTGGACATGAAGTTGCTTTCAACAAATCGTTGATATGGAGTAGGAATAGTGTTGGTGCTAGAATTGCTCCTTGCGGAACACCAGCATTTATGGTAAGAGAGTTAGATGAAACTCCGTCGGCCATACATGGAGAGACCTGTTTGAGGGAAAAGTAGCTAGCAGAGATCATAGCTGGGGAGGCAAGCCATAAGATGGAAGCTTGGCGAGGAGTCCGTGGTGCCAGACTCGATCGAATGCTTTGGAGATATCAAGTGCCACGGCTGAGGTTTCACCATATATTTCAATAGATTGCTGCCATATATGTGGGACGTAAGCGAGCAGGTCACCAGTTGATCTCTGATGACGGAAGCCATATTGCCTATCATTGAATGTTCCAGGTATTTCATGAGCTCGATGTTGATATCTTTCTCCATGATCTTTGAAATAATAGATAGCAGTGCGATCGGTCTGTAGTTGCTAGGTAGGGTCTTCTTGCCTCTTTTAGGAACTGGATGTACTCATGCAGCTTTCCAGTTGGACGGAAATATCCCCAATTTGTAAGAGTAGTTGAACAACTTGCAGAGAACAGGTGTGCACATTTCTTGAGAACAATCGGTGGGATTCCGTTCGAACCACAAGCTTTGTTGTTTGTTTAAAATCGTCCTTATAGTACGTTGGTGAAAGGTGATCTCGGGCATATGACTGTCAATTGGCGTTATGTTTGGAGGTTGTTTTCCCGATGAATCCAGAGTGGGATTTCCAGCGAATAAATGCGCAAAAATATTGGCTTCCTCCTGGGCAGTTGTGGCTAGTGTTCCATCTTCCTTGGTTAGAGGAGGAAACGAGCTGGAAGTGAAGTTTCTTCCTACAGCTTTGGCGAAGGACCAAAATGAACGGGACCCGTTAGGACATTCAACAAGTTTCGATCATCCTTTGATGATCGAATTGTCTCATTGCATATGCCTCTAGCCTCGACAAATTCTGCTCTAGTCTCAGGGCCTGGATTTTTCTGCCATCGATGGAATGCTGCCTGTTTGGAAGCGACAGCTCTAGAGCAGTTTCGACTGAACCAGGCCTTATCGGAAGATTACGACAGTTATTAGTCCATATTCATGAAATGAAGCCCAACCTTTTACTTTTGAAAAATGAAGCAATTCCTTCAAGGTATATGCATAAAAATAATTAATGGAAAAGGTTATGCTTCGAGGGGTTTGCTTCAAACAAAAAATTTCAACTCTTTTTTATTTATTAAGAGAAGCATTTGCTCAAAAACTGAATGATATGCTTCGGAGAAAAAAGGAATCTAGGTTCACAACAGTTTTCCTTACTCTATTCAGTAGCTGCCCAGCCATCACACAGCTTATTGTAACGTCACATTTGCATATTTCGAAGAGTGTGGACGGGCTTGGGTGAGTGATCTATGGTTGTGTAGTCCCAGTGCTCTGTTTGTTATTGCTTATATGATGCATTTAGCACGTACAAGAAAATACTACACACCGAGACGCACGCCACGTGTATCAGATTTCAGAACTTCATTTAGATTTGAGGAGGATAATGTGGTGTGGTTGGCATACCACTTTCTTGGGGCGGATCCCGAAACTCGTGGTGCAGCCCTGTGATGAAAATGAAAGTATTTTCATGAAAGGTTTAATTTCCATCTCCTCACCAAACAGAGTCACGTATTCCTTAACTTGACACGTATTTAAATAAATTGAGGATATTACTTTTCCATAGTTATATAATATTGATATTGTATGTATGTGTATGTCTATTTGCAGTTAATGAACTATATTATTATTTTTATTATTATAAATATTCTTTGACGATTTCAGTCAATGCAGCAGTTTTTTCTTTTTCATAGCTGGAACTTGAGATTTCTCGAGAATAGCCGGAAATGCTTGGACTCTTTCAGCGATAAACATCATTTCAGTAGTCACATCTTCGCTACCTCCTTTTTCACTATCACTCTCTGTGTCAGACATTTCGAATTATGAACTTTCAATTATACTATACACAATTGAATCAAATGGATCAAATCCACCTTGATTCATTTGCGAACAGTATTGAGTATAAAACGAATGAAATACGCTGTCGCAGAACACATGTAAGCGTTGATTGCACACTACAAGTCTTAACCTGTCATAGTCGCTGTACATTTTCTTCTTCTTCATTTGTGTTTATTGATTTTCTGACTCCTTGCCAATTCCACCTGATCTGGTAAGGGATATACCTCTTACTTTATTTATCCGAAGCATTTCCTTGCAAGGAAAAGGTAGAGATTATGAAAGCAAAACCTTTTACTCCTACCTTTCACTTGAAAGTAAATGCTACATTTTTATAAATATTGGCAATTGAGTGACAATTCGATCAATAATCATCACCTTGGTATTATCATGATACCGAGTGTATTATGTAACACACTCTGATTCATATTTTCTGTTCCAGAGCACGCACACCATGATGGCGACGGAATACCCCACTTTCCCCCATCGGCACCGCTACGCGTGCTCCACCATGTCCTCGGAGACCCTGAGCGGCAGCTGCGGCAGCAGGAATAACCGCGTGCGCACCGTCCGACTGGCACGGAGAGGCTCAGGCACGTCGTCCCTGAGCAACGGGCGGCAGAGCAACTCGCTGGGGTTCAGCCTCAGGGGGGGACATGAGCATGGCACGGGGTTCTTCGTGTCGCACGTGGAGGTCGGGACGGAGGCTCACGGGCAAGGTTTGAGGGTGGGTAACTGCTATTTCTCAGAGCTAGGAAATATAGGGAGATGTATTGCTTATCATATATCATAGTAGTATAGTCTTTAGGGGAACGTGACGGAAAGGCAGGATTATAGATATTTTTGACATCGCATAATCGCTACAAAATAGTTATTTGTATGCCTAGGCCGCGAAGTAACTTTTTGGCGTCGATAATTTTGTTTGTTGGGGACAGGGGACGGGAATGTGTCCCAGCCGTGTTGACTATTTGGTTATATAGGTTATGAAAAAAAAAAAGTTATAGAGAGCCATGAATAATATACAGGATCTTCTATAATATATGGAACACAAAAGGTGATAGGACGCAAGAAAAATGAAAAAAGGTTCCATAGACATGAGGTGTAGAAGGCTTGGTATGCGATATAGAGTTGAAAATGAAAAATAATTCTTATTGGATTGCTAGATAGCCGCGCAACAAGAAATTTTTATATTCTGGTGAATAACTAAGTTCCTGAGAGTGATTGAATCGGTATCATTTTTCAGTAGATATGACTCTCAGTGGCACCGTTGAGGGGTATTGATTTGTGATTATTGAAAAAACAATGGTAGATTTCGGTAGATAAACAACTACTTTTCTTGCTAAAGCCGCGCAGAACATTGAATTACATCCTCCCGAAATCTATGCATCGATTCGTATAAACGAATACTGATACAAGTGATTCTTTCCTGAGTGCCTATTGATTTCGATTTAGCCAGGCCACGCTAGACACCTACTGACCGGTTTCGAGCTCTTTGACTCTCATCAGTGCAGGGCAGTCTCCTGCCAGCAGTTCTAAGAATCCCATTAACGTTCATTTTATGAACATTGTTTGGATATGAGTGAGCTTTTTGTATTTATTCAACATTTCATTCCACTTTGAGCATTGTGGCTATTTCGTTGCCAGTTGGGCAACCAGCCACTCCCGTATGGGAATTTCAGTTTTGGAGTGTTTCTTTCCTGCTTTACTACTCAGATGACGTTGCTTTCATATTGTCCATGAAATACGCCTCTGCAGGAATGTAATGCTGACTTGATTTTTGTTTGGCTAGACTACGCTTAGTCGGCGGTCTTAGGACTGCTGGCTGGAGACTGCTCTGCACTGATGAGAGTAAAAGAGCTCGAAACCGGTATGTAGGTGTCTAGCGTGGCCTGGCTAAATCGAAATCGATAGGCATTCAGGAAAGAATCACTTGTATCAGTATCCGTTTATACGAGTCGATGGAGACGAAATTGGATGAAATATTGTTCTTCAGAATCATAGAACAACTCTGACACTTGCACTCAACTGAAGGCAAGGCTGTACAGAAGTATTCCAAAGTGTTTATACCGTCTTGGTCATCATACTATTTTAGTCTGGTACGCAACATATTTCGGTACCAAACCAAGCCGGTAACTTCAACAAGTTGACAGGTTATACCACACTGACCAAGAGAATTCAGTTAAGATATAGTCATTAGTCAGCTAACAAAGACAAGGTATACAAACTTGGCTAATATCTTGTTTGTGATTGGCCAGACATCAGACAAATGAAACCCTGAGGTTCATTCCAGTGACTTTTGCTGTCACATTCAATAAATTATCTCAACATTTCATGAGCAACTGAGAATTTTTTTTTTCAACTTCAAAAAACAGAAAACATATATTTCGAGGAATTGAAAGTTGTCAGTTGCTGACGTTATAGATGTGCTGCATGTAGGTTTATCAAGGAGGTGGTACATTCATTTTGCTGGATTATTTGGGATCTTCTTTCTTCGTTATGTGTATTATTTCAATACACGTGTAGTAAGGAAAAATTAGATGATTTGCTTCAAAATGTCACTGTCTTTGACTTTTTTTCATCCGAGAGCCTAAGAGATAAATTCAATCGTTCGTCAGTGACACTTCGTTTTAAAAAATGTTTGTAGAAGAGAAATATAAATATATTGACAGAATATCGAATTTTTATCATCTTCGAACATTTTGGAGCACATCATCAGATTTTTCCTCACTACACGTATATTGAAATAATATACCGGGTGACACAGGGTATAAAGCTTCTGCTTTGGTGAACTGATATTTCTGAAATTCAGTACAGTTTTATAAGCAACCATTTCGGATTTGATCAGACAATTCAATATGGCGGTGTGTCGGTGTTTCTGGAAATGCCAGCAACTGTATATTTTCACAAATTCAAGTTTAACAAGTCAAAAAAAGTGCAATCTCAATGTCTAATGTCATTTTCTCGAGAAATTTTGTTTTTTTTTTCTCTTAGAGCGCTCTTAAGAAAACTCCTATTATGTTCGTGGAACATCGTGGTACTAAGGGAGGATAGGGAGAGGAGGTTTAGATGTTATAATTTTGTTTCAACTATAAGTTCTAGAATACCAACGCTTCGCGGATAAATGAGATGTGGTCAAGGCTATTCACAACGAGTCGCGAATAACAGAGAAACATGTTTTTTCAGAAAATATTTTTTTTTCTACGAGCGTGCGAGAAAGTTACTTTTCCGCATAATTTTTTATTTTGAAAGTTGTACTTTTCCGTACTATTTTACTTTTCCGCATTATTTTTTCTTTCCCGCACGATTTCGAAGGAATTACCAGGAGACATGCGTGGTGATGACTGTTGGCACCAGAACGTACCCATAGCAACAGTCGCTATAAACTGAAAGTAGTGGCAGTCAACAAATAAGCATTTCAAGCGTCATTTTTCCGTGTATGTAATTCCAATTGATAATGGACAACTCAGGAAACTTTCAAGATCTTCCCCCGGAAATAATTGATGCAAACACTAACCAATTAAATCAGTAGCGCATCTAGGATTTAGTTCTGGGAGGGGTAAAAATGTCCAATAATCAGGTAGATATTTAATATAGGTAATCACATAAAATATATAGGAAACAGAAACCTTTCATCGAGTATGGAAACTAAAATAAAAAACGAATAAAAAAATCAAGAACATAAAAAAAATTTCATCAACATTTGAACAAAAATAAAACAAGAATAAAATACAAAAATAACAAAAAACATCTCAAAATATAACAAAAAAACTCTTTGTAAAGAGGAGATTACAAAATAAAGTCTAGTCTTCTATTTTTTTGGTAGCATATCGATTAATAACATCTTCGACATCTACCTGAATCTCTCTATGTATGCATAGCATTGCCAAACCTGAAAGCCTTTCTTGCAGCATGGTTGAGCGTAGCCAAGTTTTCAACCGTTTAAGACAGGAAAAACTCCTTTCCGCAGAAGCCACACTAACAGGCTGTTAGGCAGTGAGTAATAAATCAGTGGATTCCTTTTCGGATAACTTTTATTCACACTCTTTCGAAGAAAAAAAAATCTGTTATTAAAACAACGAACATAATCAATAACGAATCCATAGTTACATGACAAGTGTCTAACTACTACATATTACATAATATATTATATACAGTAGGTATTGTCGATAGATTACAAACTATGAATTCCAACACCCTCACTTAAGCTATCGATAAATAAAATACATCTCATTTCATACCAATCCCAGTAACACAAAATGTATGCTTGACCCCAGAGAGAGCTTTTGTCAAAAAATCTGCAATCATTTTTTCACCAGGCAAATATTCAACTTTAACAATATTTTTCTTTAACCAACGTTTGATTTGATGATATCTTAGATCAACATGCTTAATTTTACTTTGGGATGATTGCCCATGACAAACTTTGACCGCTCCCTGATTGTCATTAAATATTATCAGGTCATTTTGTTTAGCATACAGTTCTCTTAGTAGACCAAGTAAACCAATCCCTTCCTTTCCACATTCACTTATCGCAACATATTCAGCAAAAGTGGTACTATCGGCCAATGTCTTTGTCCTCTGCTTTCGGGACCGCCAACTTATTGGACCTTGTGCAAATATATATACAAAACCTGTATAGGATTTCCTATCTAGCAAACAACTTCCATAATCAGCATCTGCATAACCTTCTAAAATGTAATTTCCTTTTGAATAAGCTATTCCTAAATCAAGTGTTCCCTTGAGATACTTCAAAACTCTCCTAGCAGCATTCAGATGTTCATCATTATTACAAGAGTTAAATTGACTAAGATAACTTACTGCGAAACAAATATCAGGCCTAGTGCCTACTGATAAATACATTAGTGCACCAATTATTTGCTGATAAACTGGATTATTACAGCCCTTATCAGGTTTGATCAGTTTGGTACCAGTTTCTATTGGTGTACAGACAGAATTACAGTTCACCTCACCGAATCTAGACAAAATATCTCTGGCATAAATGCCTTGGTCGAGCTTAATAGTACCCTCTGTTCTGTCTCTTCTAACTCTCATCCCCAAGCATTCTTGAACATCTCCCAGATCTTTAATTTCAAATGCTTCAGCAAGCCTACTTTTCAAATCACCAGTCTCACTTTTGGAATTAGAGAAAATATAAAAATCATCCACATGTAGACCAATTACAATACAACCACTCTCATTTCGCTTCATGTACACACAATCATCATAATTAGAGCGTTTGAATCCAATTATCATTAAAAGATCATGAATCTTATCATTCCAACATTTTGCTGCTTGTTTGAGCCCATAGATGGCACGGTTCAATTTGCAGACTTTATTTTCACTTCCTTTCACCACAAATCCTTCTGGCTGTTCCATCAAAATGGTTTATGATAAATCTTCATTCAGGAAAGCCGTAGTAACATCAATGTGATCAATTTCAAGATCTAATTGAGCACTAAGTGCGAACAATAATCTAAGTGATGCAAGCTGAACAACAGGAGCATAAGTTTGATCATAGTCCCTGCCGGGAACTTGTGTGAAGCCTTTTGCAACCAATCTTGCTTTGTAGCGTTTAGATCCATTCATTCCCCTTTTAAGTTTGAATACCCACTTACATTTTACAATATTTTGGTCATCTGGTCTTTTTACCAATGTCCATGTATGATTGCTTTCAAGTGAACTTAATTCATTCCGCATGGCTTCCTCCCATAGAGATTTATCAGATCG